ATAAATTAATCACACTCCCACCCTCCCCCCCCCCCCCCCCAAAATCACTTCCCAGTGACGAAAGGCATCGACCTACTCTTAGGGTGTAAGAGATAACTTTTTCTCACTTACTTTCTGCTTCTAATCCTCCAAACGTACGCAGGTTCCAAAAGGTATCTGTATAAAGTATCTATAGTAGATCTCACTATCGTCACATCTATCAGTTGTTTTAGTATGTAGACGGGTCTTATGGGAACAAGGCACCTTAAGAGGCTTAAACTTGAGGGTAAGCTTGTGTAAGTATACATGCGCGGTCTACTACCTATAAGCCAGTGATTCTCAACCATGCAGGGACGCCCGTTTCCCTTGGAAAAAGCCTTTCACGTCCGTGTCGGATCCGCCTTTTACGTCGATGGTGCTGCCTAAGTATGTGAAGGACTCCACTTCTTCCAGTGCCTTTCCTGCCAGAGAGATATTATGCTCTTGCTTGGTTGAGTTTACTTTCATGATCTTTGTCTTTCTTTTAATTATATTGAGTCTGAGCTGTGCTGAAATGGTGGCTACGTCTTTTGTCTTTTCCTGAATTGGTTATGGTTGCTGGTTGTGTGACAGAAGTGCAATATCATCTGCAAAGTCTAGGTCATTCAGTTGTTTCCAGAGGGTCCACTGTATCCCATTCCTCTTTTTGTCTGTGGATTTTTTCATTATCCAGACACTGGCAAGGATGAATAGAAATGGAGACAAGAGGCATCCTTGTCAGACTCCTGTTTCAACTGAAAAGGAATCTGTGAGTCTACCTTCGTGGACCACTCTGCATGTCATTTCTTCATAAGAGCTCTGAATGATCCTGACTGGTTTCCCTTGTACTTCATAGTGCCCAAGAAGTTTCCACAATGTTGGTCAGTCTAGGCTATCTTATAGAAAGGGGGGGGGGGGGGNAGCAGCATGTTGACCTGGTCTTTCATTCTATTCAATGTAATACTTTTAAAGTCTTTGGAGAAAAAAAAAAAGGGGGGGGGGGTCAGTGTCAGGGCTGAGGGGCAGCCAAAAAAAAACAACAAAACAACAACCATTAATCTGATTTATTTGCTATGTTATCGTGGGAGATAAGTATATGCGTTTTGAAATCGAGATGGGGTGCAACGCTGCAAAACGGATAAGAACCCCTGAGATAGAGTCTCACATCCATTATTCCTGTAACGGATTGTCGTTAACTTATACAGAAACTCAAGACCGTTTTAAACGTTGTATATGGTCAGGGAAATAAAAACTGTTTGATGGCGTTGGTTTGACTAAAACCAAAAGATCGGAAAGACGTTGTCAGTCAGTGCTATTTCTGCCATTACCTAGTCGGAGTTTGCATTGCCTGGGTTTGAAACTCAAACAGAACAGGGAGCTAACATAACAATTTTTTTTTTTTAATATATCATTCTTAAGTAAGGAGAGGGCAATGCATTTTTTAAATTTTAACATAAATGGCTTCACCTATTTGACAAAACATCAGTGAGTGAATTCAGTGACCTGCATGCAGGGGTCATTCCTGTGGTGGGGGGGGGCACACTCAAGATTCCCCCCATCCCTTTCCTCCCAAAATAAATATGTATTAATTTCTTAGGGGAAAAAACCAGGAACATCGCTGTTCCCATGTGTTCCAGCATGATCAGAGCCCTGTCAGCATGATCAGAGCCTTGTCAGCATGATCACAGCCCTGTCAGCATGATAAGAGCCCTGTCAGCATGATCAGAGCCCTGTCAGCATGATCAGAGCCCTGTCAGTATGATCAGAGCCCTGTCAGCATGATCAGAGCCCTGTCAGCATGATCAGAGCCCTGTCAGTATGATCAGAGCCCTGTCAGCATGATAAGAGCCATGTCAGCATGATCAGACCCCTGTCAGCATGATCAGACCCCTGTCAGCATGATCAGAGCCTTGTCAGCATGATCAGAGCCCTGTCAGCATGATCATGTCAGTAATATTAGTTTCAACAAATCTACTTCTTGACATGCTTAAAACAATGTGTCAAACCCAATGATATTTTTTTTTGTATCTTCTAGATTGTCTATGGATTAGTCACACATGACTCATGCGAAATGTTACTTTGAGTAACCGGTTGGGGCGCTGGGCTAATGTCTTCCAACGTCTGTAAGGCTAAGTTATGAGACACTTGACTGTTGTTACCTAATAATATGGAGAGAAGAAAACAAAAGAGGCAGATGTGTTTTCTTTATTTTAATGCGCTATATACTGGTCCGGTAGATTTGTCTATAGAGTTAAGTTATGCAGGATTAAAAAAAAAATACATTTATTTAAAAAGCACTGCTTGGCGCAAAATCTTTAGAAACAATAAAAACAAACTCTAGAATAGTTTCTTAACATTGGATGACTAAATACCACAAGCGCTGACTTCAGCAACTGGTGGATAGCTCAAATGTACTCCTACGTGAAAACGAAAACTGCCTCTGTAGTTGGAGATTTTAAAGACCAGATGATGAACGTATTGAGCCAGGCCCCCCTGTTAATGTCCGGCGCCGAGGAGCATCATCCAATGGAGTGCCCCTGGTCAAGGAACAAGCGACTTCGACATCTTTTTTGAAAAGACAGTTTTAATGAACACGCCAGAGCAGCCGTTACTCAGAGGAGATCGACCGAACTAAGCTACAACAGGGGAAAGTAGCCGTCCAAATGTTAACTATGTAATTGTAACTCATGTAGACGTAAATAAGAAAAAAAAATAAAGAAATCAATTTTTTTAAAAGTCAGGAGTTCCAATGGTCAAAGTAGCCAGTGAATGCCCAGCTGAAGAGCAAATATTAAATTTTTAACCATCCTATTTCTAAAAGAAAACTACGATCCTCTTCAAATATATGGCGCGCTCTGGCGCGACCGACGGCTCTAAATAAAGCCAATAAACTAGGCCTGCATACGTGTTCTAGCAGGGGCAACAATATCTTCTGCGTCATTACTCATGTCATAAGGTACACCACTTAAGACAACGTAACAGACACTGCTCACCTCCTCTAACTAGATGTACATTTTAGTTTATTTCTCATTCGCACCACTTGCCACTATATTGCTTTGAAACATGACAGCGTGGGAAAACATGAAGCATAATAATTTGGGAATACATGTTTCCATGGCTCGATTATTTTCAATTTCCATTTACCCGGTATTACAATCAATCGGGTAAGCGCCATTTTATCAATAAACTAAACCGTAAGCATAATATATTCTAGCTTGCTAATAAGGTCTTGTAAAAAAAATTCAAGGTGGTCAAAGCTGAGAAAAATGCTTCAAAGAATGCATGTGACTGATACTATGTGATTTTTTTTTTTTTAATATTGAAGTTAACAAAAATATATCAACCTATAGTGATTATTTAGACAAGGTGTGCATGGGAAAATTTGAATAATTAAAAGAAAAAAAATTTCAAAAAAAAAATTAATTAATATGTAATTAATGATTTAATTGTTTAAAAATTTAACATATATTTAAATTGAGTAAATTAATACAAATATTTAAAATTTACTCACCGGCAACAGACGGGTCAGGCGCTCCATGAAAACGAGCCAGTTCGGCATACAGATGTTTCCTTTCGTTGGTATTCAAGGCATAGACAAACTGTTTGGCAGCCTCTTCATCCGTTATGGCTCCTTCGATGTCGTAAACATTGTTCATCCTTGAAGGAGGCACTTTGGGCTTGGTGTGTTTCATTCTGATACTTCTTGCAGGGTGTGCAATTAAATGACTCGTCACTGGCGTCAGCATTGCATTTTGCCCTGCCGAAAAGCTGGTGAGTCTACCGGGCAAAAGGTCAGAAACACTCTTTTTTTTAGAAAATGAATTGGAATGAGAGGCAACGGCCGGCCACATTCGGAAACTTGAGGTGAAAATGTTCCTTGAAAAATTCATGTTGATATCCATCATAGAGGCCAAAACATTTTCTCCACAGGCCGGGTTCAATTTGCCCCTCACCGTGATGGCATTGTAAGCTAATGTACCCAATGGTCTTGACTCAGGATGGAAGATAACTTGAAACTGAATTTTATTGCCTCTGGGATATTCAGTCCATTTCGTACTTATGAGTGTAGAAACATATCGCTTAAGAACACCGCCAGTTGAACTATTCGGCACACATACTTTATGAAAGGTGCAGGCCATTATGCTCCAGATAAAATGACCCCCAATTAGGAGACGGTGGCAATATGAAAAGTCCTGAACAATAATAAGTTGCTTGTATGACTTAGTTGTTTAGAGGTGTCAGCTGTATGATGATTCCAATAATATCATTTTTCATCACTCCCTTAGGGATGGAAAAAAAAATATTAAGCATTAAGAATTGAACCAAGTCATTTTTAGTTTTTCATATTCAATTGTAAATTTAGTTTTATTCCTAAAAAAAAATTTATTTACCTGTCTTAAAGTTGTTTTTTTTTTAAATATTGTAAACCATTTTAAAGTATTATAATACTTATAATAATAATAATAATAAAGTTCATTTCAAAAACACGCTTCATCCCCAAAGGCTCGAAGCGCAGTACAAAGTCAACAAAAAACAAATCTATAATTTACCACATTTAAAACAAACGCAACACTACAAAAACTAATTACAAGCATACAATGGCAAAGTCTTTCTAGCCATGTCAACACAGCCATTATGCATTAACTGGAAAATAAGGTTGACAATCATCCCAGAAGGTGTTTGCGAAATAGATGTGTCTTTAAATCGGTTTTAAAGGACTCCAGTGTCTGGTTGTTTCTGAGATCGACAGGAAGGGCGTTCCAAATTGTTGGACCAGCAAATGCGAAAGTGCGCTTTCCGTAAGTCTCAAGGCAAACACGTGGTGTCGAGAGTTTGCCACTATCGGATGAGCGGAGCTCTCTACTGGGTACATAAGGCGTCAGCAGCTCTTTCAGATAGGACGGCGCCAGGTCATGTAAGCAGCGGTAGCACAAAGTTGCGATTTTGTACTCTATGCGAGCACGCACCGGCAGCCAATGCAACTCTCTCAGAAGTGTTTTTGCATGGTCGAACTTGCGTTTGCGGAGAACAATGCGAGCCGCATTATTCTGTGCTATTTGAATTTTATCCAGGAGCGTAGCTGGAAGACCCACCATGAGAGCATTGCAATAGTCCATGCATGATAGCACAAATGCAGACATCAGCCTCTTTGTTGCATCAATTGTTAGGAAGGGCCTGATGTGACTAATCCTGCGCAGCTCCAGAAAAATCGCCTTGCATAGCATGTTAATATGACTTTCAAAAGTTAGTCTTCTATCTAGGCAGACACCCAGGTACCGCACTGTTTGAGCTAACTAAATACGCACACCTGAGAGAGCAATGGATGTCGTGTTATTTGCAGATTTTTGCTTCTGAGCGGTCGCGATGGGGAGCAGCTCAGTCTTATGATCATTTAATTTGAGCTTGTTTATGGTCATCCAGTGCTTAATCGACTCCATTGACTCCATTATAAATTCACTACATGCGGTATTTATGGTTGACATGATAATTGACATGGTAAAATTTCTAAAATTTGCTTTGTAAACGCAATACTAATGAAGAAGTGTCTTTTATTACATCTTTATTTTTTTATTTTTTTTTAAAGTCTCATCGTATTTTATTACATATAGGCCTAGGAAATTATTATTCCAATATGTTCTTTCTTTACCTAAAAAAAAACAACAACCATCTTTCGTCGATTACTGCAACATTTGTGGCATTGTATGCTTGTTCTCTACTATGTAGAGTAGGGCGTCCCAGAAATGCTGGGAAAAAATTTTTTTTTTAATCTTTGGTGTCTCACCCCCTGAAATGTGTCTCTTGGGTACAATGAGTGAATTGGTGAAGTTGTAGCTCATTTGAACAACATTTAGAGGTCCCCCAAGAGCGTTTAAAATTCCAGTATTAGGCCAACATAAAAATCCAGACGAATCGTGGCTACATCACAGTGCCGTCACCATGGGTTACCATCAGGTTCAAGTGTAGAGTCAGCAGTAGACATAGAACAGCAACTGGATGTAGGTGGTTCTGACAGTGACACAGACACACATTCTATGACATCATCCATTTGTCGGGATTCCAGTGACGATGCAGAACCTGGTGAAGAATTTGTCATCCAATCAGCATCCTCAAGCAAAACAAATTCTGCAACACGACATCGCAGACGAAGCATCATATCACCAAAAGTTGCTGCAGTGCTGGGCAGAACGAACACCAGCATTAGAAAATCTACAATGATACTTGCATCCGCATTCAACGAAGCTGGTGTTCCGACATCTGACACAGTATTTTCCAAGAGCACAATGCATCATCATCGCAAGCTTCGTCGTCAACAAGCTGCAGCACGTATAAAAGAAGACTATTCCCTCAAAATCAATTGTTCATTGGGATGGTAAGCTATTGCCCGATGTTACCGGAGAGGTTACCAACAACGTCGATCGATTACCTGTCCTGCTCTCATCACTTGTCGATGGCACTACAAAGCTTCTTGGTGTTCCCAAGTTAGCATCCGGGTCCGGACGGGCAGCTGCTGATGCAGTATATGAACATATCAAATCGTGGAAGTGCGAATCTATGGTCATCGGCATGTGCTTCGACACTACGGCTTCCAATACTGGAAGACTCAATGGAGCTTGCACTCTGTTAGAAGTAGCCCTGGGACGTAATCTATTATGGATGGCATGCCGTCATCACATGTTGGAAGTACTCCTTTCCGATGCATTCAATGTTTGTCTTGGACCATCCACTGGACCAGAGATTTTGTTTTTTAAGAGGTTTCGAGAAAAATGGCCAGAATTAAACCACACACCCGAAGCCAGATCCGCCCCTTTGATAATCGTGTCCGATTCGATTAAAGAATTTATCAAATGTCAACTTGAGGTCAGTCATTCACGTGATGATTATTTGGAATTTCTTCTGCTTGCTGCACAAATGGTTGGGTTGGAGGTTGATGTCAGCATTCGCAGACCTGGTGCCCTACATAGGGCAAGGTGGATGGCGAAAGCAATCTATGCATTGAAAATCGAACTATTGTTTGCAGGCAACGAAACCATCTTTCAGTTAACAGCTCGAGAATTACAAGGTATTCAGCGCTTTAATCGGTTTACCATATGTGTTTATCTTCAATCATGGTTTTCATGCAGGCTCACCGCAGATGCACCTGTGAATGATATCTTGTTGATACAGCGTTTATACGAATATGATGATGCTGTTCTTCGATCGACTGGATTGAAAATGATGGTGCGTCACTCGTGGTACTTGAGTCCGGAACTGTCGACGCTTGTGTTATTTTCAACCCTTTTGTCGGACAAAGAAAAAACTGGCCTTGTTCGGACAATGCAATCAGAACGTGGACCGCATCTCATAAAAACACTACCAAAAAGTGTTGTTGATTTGCGTGCTTCTACCACATTTTTTGAAACATCCAACATTGATGCCAGTTTTCTAGATGTTCCTGTTGAAGCATGGTCAGATACACCATCTTTTAAAGTTGCAGCAGATTTTGTAAAGAATCTGGCTTGTATCAATGACTCTGCAGAGCGAGGTGTAGCATTGATACAAAATTTCAATGACAGTATCACCAAGGACGAAGAACAAAAACAATTTTTGCTCCAAGTGGTTGACAAACATCTGAAAAATTTTGCAGAGTGAACAGCTGGCTAAAATTTAAATTTGAAGAACTTTTTAAAATTTTTGTCTACCCTACAGTACAAAGCACAAGATAAATATTAGGAATGCTTAATTGCATTGCTTATTATTATTTTTCAAGCAGATTGACATTCTTTCAAGAATTAACTTGACAAAATGAATAAAACTTTTTTTTTCATAATTTTTTACTTAAATTTCAAATTTAAAAATATAAACCATTCAAGATTTATATATTTTGTTTCATTTAATATTATAAACAATACTAAGCATCAATTTGTTACTTAATATGTCAGTTTCACATATAATGCAACATTAACGCTGTATTAGATTTGACCGCGAATGATTTTACACCAAAATCTGGAACTTTAAACCTCTTGGGGGACCTCTAAACATTGTCCAAATGAGCTGAAATTTTGCAGGTTAACTACTGTTACCATACAGACATATTCTGTGGGGTGAGACATCAACATTTCAAAACTTCATTTTTTTGGGACGCCCTAATGTAGAGGTATTTAATGTCATCTAAGTGTTCTTAATAGAAACATCAACATTGAGGTCACAGCAATAACCCATTTATTTATTTCAATTTCTTTAATAAAATTCATTTTAAAAATTAGATATTACAAAGTAATTATCAGAATGTGATTATTTGGATAATCCTATTCCTACTGACCATGTGATTTTAGTCATAACTCTGAGTAATGTGAGTAAATATATAAATATGCTATAAATACAAACACTGAATCACTGGTTAATATGATAAACTTATGACATGAATCATTATGATTAAATGATGATATACAACAAGTCTAATGACTTCATATAAACTCAATTTCAAATTTAAGTCATAGTTTTCTCAATAAATTAGTCTAATAAGCTGGCCTTTGAAAAATGAAGAGACTCAAACTAAACTCACACAACTGAAGTGACTAAACTAACCAGCAGCTTTATTAAGAGTTTAATTTAAGAAAATTTAAGTCTTAAATTAGGTACTTTGACAGACATTTTAAATATAGTGAGATTGCCATAAATGATACATCATTTTAAATGCCAGCAAAAACACAAGTTCACCTCTCTATCTTTTATAGAAGTGGAGTTATGGGGTTTTTTTTGGTGAATTTTTTTTTACGCCCCTTATTTAATTTGTATTCAACAATATAATTGTGACCAACTTTCCCCATTTCTGCCTTATTTCGTCCACAACGTATACTGAAATAAGACACAATTAACAACAATTTTACACAATATCAAGATTTTGTATTTTGAATACCTTTATTTGAGGGTAATTTTTAAAAAACATGAAAAGAATATTTGGAGAAATTATCATTTATAAAGGGTGAAAACAAAATTTAATAAGGTCATTATTGTATTTTAATTAAATATACCAGTATACCTCAGTTAAATTTTATTCAATTTCTAAAAGGTAAGTAGATGTATTTTTTTCTTAAAATTAAATGCATGAAATTATTTTTTTTAAAAATGAAATCCCCAATAAGACTAATACTAACAATTACCGGTATGTGATTAAAAGATAATGAG